CATACTTGTACAAAATATAAGGCGCTAGTAAAATGTAATAAGGTATTTGGAATAAACTTAAGATTTTCATTTTCCACCTTCTGTAACCCGTATTAAACCATAGTCTTTCAAAAGAATACTTATATGATGCTTAGCTAGAACTGTTTTCTTTCAGTTTTTCTCATTTTGTTGTTCTAGAAAAAACAGAAAATTTGCATAATTCTTCCAAATATAAATGCCCGAGAGCTTACTCATCCGTTCAAGTATGATAGTTATACATTACGTCTTCTTACGACGACTTGTTTAATCTATAATTCTCATTTTGAGAAAATATACAACTTGCAAACGTTTGAAAGAGATCTCCATCTTATGAATTAAACAATAATACTGATAAGTTGATCAAGTTGTGTAAATATGTCATATGTAGTACATGTAATATATGTTTACATTGTAATAATGTTTTTCCTTCATTCGTTCCTACCTACCCCCTACCCCACTCAATGGCACAGCGGTATGTCTGCAGACTTACAATGCTAAAAACCGGGTTTCGATACCCGTGGTGTGCAGAACACAGATAGCCCAATGTATAACTTTTGTGCTTAACTACAAACGAACTCTTCATTTGTCCCCAGAGCTTATTAACAGATAATAATACTTAATATGAGAAATTTTCCACTTCTGCTTTTATCATAACCAACAAAAATAATATACAACCGTTATTAAAATAGTAATAACACAAAAAAAGGTTAAGTGTAAGTATAAATATTGGTAATAATTGTTTTAGTAGCATGCTAAAAAAGGACCTCATCTGGACTTTTGATTGTTAGTTATTTAATTGTCATATAGTGAACAGTTATTTAATTTGAAGTAATAGATGCTGTTGTTTTAGCGCAAAGTCTCACAGTGAACTATATGCGTTCTGTCCACCACGGAGAATTAAACCCCAGATTTTAATATTGTAAGTCCATAAACTTACCGTTGACCCAAACGGGGCTAAAAGTAGTAACTTCTTATGATACACGACTTACATAACATGATATTACATATCATTGTTGAATATAATTGATTACAATAATACAAACATTGACATAATGCACACTTAACATATATATGTTTTGGGAAAGGATTCAAAACATCTAAATCACATCAATAAATGCACATATTTAACTTAGTGTAACCTAGTGAAATCCCCATTCCCACCCCCCTCCAAAAAGCCTGAGTCACATTTTGTAGTTTTTCTACCACCCTAAACACAGTGTTAAAAATTATAATATAGAAACAATTAATGTAGTAACTATCTGTAATTTAGTTTACGAATATCGCACAAAACATTTACGGAACGTTAATTAAATAAAAAAATAATTTTTAATTTCACGGTCGTATTTTTGTCTCTAAACTTTATTTGATACTGAGTCTTTCCTATTATTTCTTAATGATTAATATACCAATAATTTCTATATTTCTTCTACTTACACACAGGTCAGTTTAGATCGCTGCCGTTTATACTTTGTTTATAAAAAAAACAAAAACAAAACAACACTTGAAGGTCGTTATTGTTTGTCGAATTTCGAGCAAAGTTACTCGAGAGCTATGTGTGCTAGTCGTCCCTAGTTTTGATGTCATCAATTATTCCTTTTTAATACTCGATAGCTTACAAGCAAACCCTAAACAAACAGCTGTACATCATCAACCTGGAAGTCACTGGGTCTGTATCTACTTTGGTCGAAATGAGGAAGGAGAATATTTTGATTCCCTTTATTTATTAAATATGAATAAATAGAACAAACATGTTTACATAAATGGCACCATTCAGACTTTTTTAAAGTTATAAGACATAATTATTAACATTACATTGGTTTGTAAACACAACAGACACGTTTCTTGACTTGTCGTATACAACAGTAATAATGCACTTACGATGATCCAGGTCAAATTCCTCACTGAATTTCAGATGTGTAGTCCTAGTCACTGCATGATGGTATCAATTGTTTAAATATCTGCCACTCAACATGCTTAAACGTTACACATTATTTTGTAGGGTATAACATGCCATTTCGATAGCCTCTGTATTGAAGAATGTGTATCTTCACTTCATCATTAAATAGAACAATTGCAATATACCGGTCATTTTCTAGTGTATACACGTGAGAATATTTTGATGGTTCATCTCCTTGGAAAAGATGTGATGAATCTTGTTGTTGCACCATGTGTGAGCAGGAAAGTGTACTAGATGCCTGTTAAATAAAATAGTACTGATGTGTAAACATGTATTAGTCACAATCATTAATGTTATTTGTTAAAAATAACAATGACATATGAAAAAATAGCAGTAATGCAAACATAATATTTAAGAAAAAATACTAATCTTGCCTTTGTGTTTTCCACAATGAAAAGGATATACGAAGATAGCTCTCTCTTGAACTGATTGTAGACAGGATGAATGTAAGCTCCAATACAAGTCTTTTTATACATCTCAAAAAGGAAGCTGACAATGCCATGTCCTGCTTTTCTCGCGGTAGCTAGTTATCTTCCATTATCGTCATTACATACAAAACTATTGTTTCTTTACCCTATAATTATGCTTTATGAAACTGGATCACGTTCTTTATAAACTATAATTATGCTTTATGAAACTGGATCACGTTCTTTATAATCTATAATTATGCTTTATCACACTGGATCACGTTTTTTATAAGCTATAATTATGCTTTATGAAACTGGATCACGTTCTTTATAAACTATAATTATCTCCTATTATTGTCATTAATTGGTGTCACGTCATGATAATCTGTCATTACATATTATAATTAGATATGTCTGATTCATGCAAAACTCTCCGATAATTATAGTTGATAATTGGCGTCACGTTCTTTTTAAGCTATGAGAATCTATCATAGCTTATTATAATTAGGTATGATTGATTAATGGGAAACTTGAACCACGTCTATAATAATCTTCAATTATTGTCAATAATTGGCGTCACGTTCTATAATCATCTATTGTTTCTTTATTCCATAGTTATACTATAATTTGCTGTCATGGTTAATTAACTGTTCCGCCCCCTTATGCCCTCTGGCGGTGACTGGAATTAAACCATGATCGACTTCCACCACTAGAGTGCTAATATAACTACTCAAGTGAAAAACCAGTATGAAATCGACAGATAATCAGTTTGAGGTGAGATTCAGAAGATAAGTCAACAACATTTTCAGTTCGACCACACATTCGTCGTCCGCAGCCAGTTGTAGACATAGTTATTATCTCTTAATAAATATACTAGTTAATAACTTCTGATATTCCACTATTGTAGAAAATATTGCCAAACAGTTGCAATTAACTTTTATTTTTCCGTTTCTCCAATTATAGTTGTTGACTTCATTAATTTAACTAGGGTGTGTATCGAAGGTTCCGTTTTCAAAGTTAATGAGAAGTACTATAAGCAGAATAATGGATTGGCGATGGGCTCTCCTCTTTCCCCCCACTTTCTCTGTGACCTTTACGTGGATAGTTTTGAACGTATTGCTCGTGGTAATACTTCCTTAAAGTTTGATTGGTGGATTAGTTTAGCGGGTGACACGTTGTTGGTTGCGACATGGAGATACTGAGTTGAAAATATTTTTTTATTATCTAAATAATGTTGATTCTTCTAATTCTATTACACGTAAGATTGAGCAAGACAGAGCATTTAAAATTTATTCTTGTAGATTTAATCATAAAAACAAAATGAATTATACCAAAAGCACTGTAATGACAGTGGTTTTAATGTTGACATCATTGAATATATAGAAAATAAGAAAAAATTATAATTCACATTTTATAATACAATGTATTTGATTAAACAGTGTCTATGGTAAGAAAACGAATATTTTAGTAATATTACAATATATATATGTGCCGTAACAAGCCAAATCTTCAGTGTATTCGGCAAACATAGTTTAATTCCTATTATTAAAGTTGAAACAATAGTTCCTATTATTAAAGACAAAAAAAGGTGTAAATACATATGTGAAATTAGGTGTGAATGTAATGAAAATACATTGGTAATTTAAAATATCGTCTTAATAAAACGTAATGAAATGATATTAATTTGCTGGACATGCAGTCGAAATAGATCATGCGATAAATTTCGTAGATACAGTCAATTAGAATTTTTTATTTAAACCATTTGAAGCTTTTTGCTGTCAATTACGATTTGTGTTTTAGCGGAACACTCCCGATGAAGCGAACCATTGTGTTTAATTAAAGAAATATAACAATTTTGATGTTATAAGTTTTTTATTTCTAGTATTCAAATGTCTTCTATACACAAATACGCACTATCGAAATTAAATAACGAGCTCACAAACTCTTATTATGACAGTTCAAATCGTTACCTAGGAGTTTTGGTATTATTGTAAGTAAAGTTTGGGGGATAGCCCTTTTTAATTCTTATAATTTAAGATATTACGTAAATAACATCAAAAAAAAATTCAAGTCTTGAAATATTTGAATACACCAAAACATATTGTTATTTTCAAATCTGATAATAAGTAACTATTCTGAACAAATAAGGAACTTAAGTTTTAAACTCGGATCCGAACAAAAATAAATTCCAGAGATAATTTATGAAAATTTAAAATAGATGAATTAATTTTAGAAGGTTTATAATCAGAGTCATGCATTTGGCTCATGTTATGTTATTTTCTACAGTATTCCAAAAATATATGGCAATATCAATCCAATAGAAACTATTGTTTCAAATATATGTATATAATCATACAATGACGTATTTTTTTCTTACTTTGTTCTTATTTTACGAAAAATGATTTTAAGATGAAGAACAATTCTGAATTTAAATTATACTGAAACTTGACGAACATGTATTCTGTGCCAGCTCTGAAACTAATTATATTTCTATGCATATTCTCCAAGATAAAGAAATTCATTAAAAATATGTGCTGGTCTTTTTCTTCTTCTTCTATTTTTTTTCTTTTTAAGAATATAAATAAGTTAATGACTGAACTAAACCTGTGTTTATTAAACATTTGGAAGTTGTCACTACACAATAGTATTTCGTTTTCAATGGAATAAGTTTAGGTCAAACTGATGATTTTGTTAAGGGTTCATGGCTTGTATCTATGCTCACGCCTTTTTGAAGCAGAAAGAACTCAGGGCGATACTGTCCAGGATTCGGCAGATTCACTTTACCGGTATTGAGCAATACGCAAGCTTATGTCCAAGATTGTTTAACACTGGTGGTATAACAATCGGTGTGCCAGCTATTCCATCTCGGATATGTGTAGGCGGTGGTATGGTACTAATCATACCTCTCTTCTTCTAGCATTAACATATTTGCGTTCTTCGTCAGTCAAATACTACCTGTATTCACTGTCGCGGATTCGACATTAAGCGTTAATAAAGTTATATTGCTCTTGAGCAAACTGCGATATGTTTTGACTATATCGGATTCAACGCTGAGCGTTAATAGCTTCATGCTGTTCTTCACTCAACGTAGTTCATCTAATTCATTACTGTGTTAGGAAACTTCCTCAACCAGCCTTTTGCGTGACGTCTAAGCTAAAACGAAGGAATATTTTTTTCCCCTACGTACAACAAAATGAAATGTCAGCAAACCATTTGCTTGGTATTTCCTAAGTACAATGAATGTACAATAAAATAAAATGTAAGAAAACCGTATGCCTCAAAGTTTTAAAGTCTAAATGAAGGTATACAATGATGCTTCTTAAGTACAATAAGCCAAAATGTCAGTAAAGTGCTTGCGTAACTTTAAGCTAAAATGGAAGAGTAAAATTATATTCCCTAGGTTTAATAAATTAAAATGATTATAGGGACTTACTAAAATACAATACAGAAGTAGAGAAACACTTGCTAATCACAAACACAAACGCTTATAAATACAGTATTTGAATCACATTAACAAAGCTAGAACAATATAAATGTTTGTTAACCAAAGACAGAAACACTTATAAATACAAAATTTCAGTGACATTAAATAAACTAACACCAATGTAGAATGGATTTATCCGAATGACAACGAACTACAACTCTTCACCCCGCACTTTATTTATTTAAGGATGCTTCAGGAACGTACCACAAAAATCCGTAGTACATTTATGTATAGATAATAATTTACTTGGTACAAAGCTACATAAAAGGCTATATAGGCTATTACCAGCCGCGAGTAATGAAACCTGATTTTTAGCGTTGTAAGCCCTCGGACTTACCGCCGAGTTTTACAGATTTTCTTTGTGAGAATTTTACAACGTATTCATACTGAATATTCATAGTTTTGACTTTCTGTAATTACAACTAATTCATACAACGTGGAATGTAGAATTAACATTAATTTTTATTACACTCGTTCTTTGTATTACTAATAATCAAATTTCAGAAAGGCTGTTTTCAAAATTAAAAATTTTGTTTAAGAAATATATATGTACATAAATGGAAGTTAAATATGTTGTGATAAGACATTTAAATTTTTTGATGCTTTAAATTTTAAAATAAGCCAGTTCAACTATGTTAGTTGAATAACAGCATATGGTTTTAATATTATAAACTTTAGAATAATTCAGTTTGAATATATTAAATTCTTATGAGATTACTACGAACTTAATTCCAGTAAATGCTATACTAAAATAAACATTATCTAAATATACTAATACAATAATACCTGTAGAAAAAACAAATAATACATAAATGTTAATAGATTTACAAACTTAAGGACCATTTCATGATGTTAATGTTTCACGTCCTATTTTGCTACGTTGACTCGCCAGTTTCTTTGTTGTTTTTTATCGCAAAGCTACACAATGAACTAATTGTGCTGTGTTCACTTCGGGGAATCGAGTCCCAGATTTGAATGTAATAAGTCTTCAGACTTACTGCTGGCCCACAGGGAGATTTACCAATTTCTTGTTCACAGAATATATGATCAAACTAAATAGTAATATCTAACGAAATAATAGTTTGGTTCTTAATGATATTAAAATAGTAGATATTACACATAAGTCTATATTTAAAAATATGGCATTTAATTTTGTCTGAATTACCTAGTATGTTCAAAAATCGAATTAAAAATATGGTACTTAAAAATTCTAATGCGGAAAATTTGTGTTACATCAACGTCGACATTAACTTTTGATCAAACAAGACAGAAAACATATACGTAATATAATAAACGAGGAGAAAAGTACAAGCGTTTATAAGCCCCCAATGGCACAGCGGTATGTCTGCAGACTTACAACGCTAGAAACCGGGTTTCGATACTCGTGGTGGGCAGTGCACAGATAGCCCATTGTGTAGCTTTGTGCTTTCCTTCAAACAAACAAACAAGCGTTTATAACTTATTATGTTCTCCAATATTCACCTGTAGGATATGTCGCTACCAATTGGCTAGTCTTGCTCTTTAAGAGAGGTAAGGGTTGATTTACAAAATAATACATGTGTCTGTATCGGGCTGTGGGTTCATGTTCAGGAGGATTATGTCTATACTGAAGATTCTTACAACCTTGGTCTCCGTGGTCCAGAGACGTATAACCAAGCAGATTGTCTAGAAATGGAATATTGAAACGACCTCGATAGCAGTCGATGAGAGGTGAACCATAAAACAAATAACCATGCCTTTGGAGCCTCACTGGAAATCCAAAAGGAGCTTTTTTAAACTGAGTTGAGAGAACACTGGTCGCACTGGTGAACAGCAGAAAAAATCCTATTGTTGACTTAATGAAACGCATCGTCTGTTGAGAGAAAAACAATATTGGAAATACATGCAAAAATTATTATTATATCGGGCCATAAAAAAATGAAAGAATGTGTTTTCTTCGTAATAGAATATATTGCACAAGCAATTCATTACGTGTTACAAACACATAAAGAAAATTCTAATTATTTTTGGATAATGTTTAGTGTAGCTACATTCGAGGAACTGATAGAAATATATTTGAGAATCAACAGATTAAAATAATTTTAAGAAATAATATTATCTTGAATTTTAAAAACTTATTACAAATTTATAAAATTGTATAAAAATATATAAAGATTGTATTCAGATAGTTCTGATATTCGATAACACTGTGAAGAGACAGGTACAAAATCTGAAGGATGTATTATCTCATAGCAATCCTTTCATATAGTTCTATTCTCTGATGGTCATGCATACAGATAGTTATGATATCTAATAGTTCAGTATTCAGGCAGTTGTAACAACTGTGTCCAGATAGTTCTGATATGTTGCACTTTGTCACACAACTGAAATATAAACGGTGCATTATTAAAAATATTAAGCAAACCTGAGGTGAGCTAATTTATATATTTGTTCGAAAGAAATCTTACAGAATAGAATTATGTTAAACCGTTACATATCACATGCAAGTAAAAGTTTTAGTATTTTAGAAGTCTAGCTTTAATTTTCGAAAAATATTAAGAAATTGTAGATTATAAAGTATAATAACAAGTAAAATATTTATCCATAACTCATTGGCTTAGCAGCTGCCATCATAAATAGACTTTCTATATTCATTTCATTTTAAAGAAATATAAGTAATAAAGACTTATAGTGTTATTAAGTATGATTTAAAAGTTGTATGTATATATATATATATATATCTTCATAAGTAGATAAAGTTACATCGTCAGTCTTACCTGCATCCCTGTCATTCTGTACGATGGTTACGATGTATTTGTAGGTATTTAACACAATATCCTGTTTACAAAAAACATAGAACTTGTAAGGTCGCCAGGTTACTTTTAACACACAGGTGTCGAATTCGTTCTTCCACTTAGATTAGGCAGCTGGTGTTAAGATGAAATTCACGTAACTAAAATTTAATAAATTTTGTTATAAAAATGTAAACACCAGATTTAATAAATATTAGAGACGACCGACTCCACCGCCATAACGTAATAACTAATTCCGGTATTATTCTCTTGTGCCTAATTCTACTAACGATGGAAGGAACTGGGTTTCTAGACCAATGGCTTACCTATGAAAAGTAGGTCATGGTTACCGCTAGGTGAATGTCCTAGGTTTGAACTAACCTGACAACATTTCAAGCCTGTCACGGCTAAATATAAAGTTTTATTGCGCATAAGCTGGGCTTTTGACGAAAGCCGAATAATCTGATGCTGTTTTGTACATTATTTTATCTTATATATAAGCATATGATGTTTTAAACTGCTTCTGTTCATTCCCATAGAAATAAGATAAATATATTTACTACAAATACACGAACCAAAATGACTACTTATGGTAGTAAACAAGTTTTGATAAATCCGTGGAGTAAGAAGTGACGTATTTTAGAAAATAATTTTGTTTGAGCAATCATCCCAGAAGTTTTAATTTTATAATGGCGATTTTTATGAAGATATTTGGACTTAGCTTCATATTCGAGCTCTTTTATACATATAATTATTTTTCATTTAGTTTCGTTATTTATGCATCAACAGATTTGCTTGTTTCAGAATAGGCTAGAGATTAGTCAACAGCGGCCACCGCTAAATCTTAGGCTACTTTTGTCTGGCCGAATAGTGGGATTTGATCGCTACTATTATAGCACACCCACGGTCATAAAGTGTGAAGCACGTTTTAGAGGCCACGAGCCATGAATTCGCGAATTCACAGTATTATACAACATCAAAAAGTAGAAGGAAGGAAAACGGGAAAATTTAAAAAATGTACATAAATCTAAGTAAAAGCATGTCATCGCTATTAGAGCTTTGACATAACTTTAATATGTACGAACCCATTCAGAATAACTGAGGTTTTAATTCTATACTAAAAAATATCAAGTCAAACTAAACAACCTGCCAATGTAGCCTTATTCGCTCGCATGCAAATCAAAATATCGGAAATTATATTGGATCGAGAAGTCAGTGTTACCGAAGCGTTTTAAAAAGAAAGTGTTGTATAATCCTATAAAAAGCGTTGAATTGTACGAGAGATGAAGTAGTTTCAATACAACAACGGTTCGTTACATTATGCAATTCGTACTCTGGATAACAGTAAAAACTATATATTAAAGGAAGTAAACGTTATTTACAGCTGTTATGTGTTACAAATAAATGAATGATGTCGAATTTTATACGTGTGTTTAAGGCACGGGTTGACCCTGTGGTTGAGCTCTAGATTTGGAAGCTGCCAAGTTTGGTTCGAAATTCGTGCGATACTACAAAACATTCCATCACTTTAAGCTGCGGGTGAATTATAAGAGTGACAGCCTTATCATGGCTGGTGTGTGCTTGGGTGCTACTGACTGGCTGCGTTCCATCTGATCTGAAGTTTAGAATTAGGGACTGCGAGATGAAGCCGCAGAAGCTTTGTCAGAAATACAAGTTTGCATGTTTTGGCTTCTTATTGGTTTTAAGTGTTTGAATAAACTGTTCAAAGTATGTCTCCTATATTAAAGGAGTGGCGATATTCATTTAAACACACACACAATAAGATGAATCACATTAGTCAAAATTTAAATAGTAAGGAGCTCTATGTAGTAGATAGGAGGTTTGTTCTGTGTCCAAAAGATGCCGCTTCAGTGGGGGGTCGCCGAGTGAGTGTAGATCAAAGGATGCTGCCCGAGGATTACATAACTATCAATTAATATATGCACCTGGGTGTTACACCACTGCTGCGTAGTACATACGCCCGGGTGTTATGTAACTGTTAAATAATATAGATACCCGAGTGTTATGCAACTGTTACGTAATATATACACCTGAGTGTTATACAACTGTTACGAAATGTATATACACATCTGATGTTTATATAACTATTACATAAGATGTTATCGCCTGAGTGTTACGCAAGTATTGCATAAGATGTTATCGCCTGAGTGTTACGCAAGTATTGCATAATATCCAAGAGACCTGTAGTTTGAATGATACTCATCAGATGGCGCAGCTATCTTACGGAGGGTGATATCTTGGATCAATATCAGATGGATGGTGCTGCCAAGGTTAAACTGTGTTTCTCCCAGAGGGCACGTTGCTAGGCCGCCATGACAAGCGGACATGATGTCAAAAACGATGACGTCCACGAATTGGATCAATGTGTTTCAACATGTAATCAATGGCGAGATTTAATTATGATCCAAAAGCAACATAGTGGCTTTATGTATAAAACACTTCGCTAATTCATTATTTCTATATTTAATCATACTTTTACATTTTCTGACCTTTTATATGTAAGGACGCTTATTTAACATGAAAACGTACGACAATCTTACTGTTTCACTATCTGTCTTTATGCTATCCATATAATTATGTTCTTGAAAAAATATATTTCATTTTGTTGTTCCTTACGATAAAGGATAAGAAAATACACAGCCGATTTTGACTTAACACACTGATTATAGTTTTAGTTTCTTTATTTAAGCTAAGCACACTTTTTGCAATTAATGTCCTGAAAAGGGCGCTTATTTAAGTATCGACTGTTAGGAAATACAAAGGTCATCATGTGGTCACACACATACAGATGGCGTTACTAAGAGTAGTGTTTCTATAAATGGAGAATGGTGTGCTCATTGTCTCAAAAATATCTAGATTTAATTATGTGTAAAACTATTATTGATTTAACATGATAAAAAGTTCTGGAAACAATACTTGTTTTTAACAATTTATTCATTTTCTCACAATAAAGACTTTGCAATATAATGTACATAAAAAGGCATATCTATTAATGATTTATACATATGCAAATGATTTGCAACAAAGTCATGAAAAAACATATCATTACTATCTTTGTGAAATCCAAATAATGCTTTTATTTCTACAAACCAGACATTCTATTTCAGTATCTTTCACTTAAACTTATTAGTTTTCCAAATTAACATGAATTATACAATTCTGTGTTCTTACATAAAAATCACCTTTCGTCATAGCCCAATATGCTGCCATACATACTGAACAAAACTTCAGGTACTATAAACATCAAAGTTTATTATTTTATTGGATTAGCTTTCATACAAATTATGTTCATTCCAACTCAGTATGTAATAATAATTATAACATAAAGTTATTCTTAAATACAATCTCTTTTGTCTGCTGAAAAGATAATTCCAAGAAATGTAGGTTTTTGGCTTGTTCTAGTGCCTAAGGCACTTGATTGGCAATCTGCTAAGTGCAGGTTCGAATCTCGTCACCAAACATGTTCGTCCTTTCAGAGGGGCGTTAGAAAGTGACGGTCAATCCCACTATTCGTTCGTAAAACACTAATCCAAGAGTTGGTGATGGGTGGTGTTCACTATCTGCCTTCCCTTTATTCTATCACTTCAAAATTAGGGATGACTAGTGTAGATAGTCTTCGAGTAGCTTTGCACGAAAATTAAACAACAAACAAAACAAGAAATGATATAAAAAAGCATAAATTAAAAAAAATGATGATTTAATAATTAGTCTCGTTTTATTGTTCTTGTTTTACAATTACTATTTAGAACCAATTATTTGGAGCTATATATATATATATGAACATATTGACATGGTGGCAGTGTTCACTCTCCACTTCAAAATTTGCAATATGATTATTTGATTGACAAAACTTTTGGAATTATTAAAGATACGCTAAAAATCCTTTGACGTAAGATTGTGTAGTGTATTTCATTTCAAATCTGTTTTTTCTACGTATTAACAGCGAACCGCTACACGTCAGAGTGATTGGTATAATGACATTATTATGGAATTATCTGTACTTATAAAAAAAAAACAAACATAAAGTAAGAGAAAAACTGGTGGCACTTAATGCACACCATCATTCTACTGGTGTGATATTTTATGTAAGTATGTAGCAACCTATTTCAAATAACAAATGTGAACTAAGATGCATAAAGAAAATAGTAAACTTAATCATTTTTATTTTGTGCTAAATAAATAGTGTATTTATTATGAATTGAACATTAGATACATCATTTACTAGCTTGATGGCTTATATCGCTGGAATTCATTATTTGATTCCCACAGGACAAAACGCAGATAGCCAATTTGCAGCTTTGGGTTAAGACAGCGAACAAACCAATTAAAAGTTAAATTTACTTTAAAAGGTGTTTCATTGTTGGATATCATTAATTATTAATTTTATCAATTAAGATAAATTTGATGAAATATGTTCTAATGGTTTATCGCTGATCAATGTGTATAACTGTTATATTATTGTTACCGAATGACAAAAAAAAAACAGTTAGATATAGAAATGGCTAGTGTGTAACTTATAATTACGTAATTAAGCTTCTTGTGAAAAACTATTTCAAAAGCCTCATACATGTCCGGAATTTTATTCGTTTTTGTTATTACTTACAAAAGATATACGAAGATTTGGAGAATTGTTTTGAAGGAGATGTAAATTTACGTTTGATAATAATGATTTTGTTTTCAGTTTTTTCAATGCCACTTAAAAACACGTTCCTTGGTGGGTCAGCAGCGAGTTCAAGGACTTTCAATGCTAAAATCCATCGATTCTGCGATTGGACAGAGCGCAATAGCCTATTATACAGCTTCGCGCTAGAAAAACACACTGGAAAACCCCACTATTACTGTTGCCCGTTTTTATTTACCCTCGTAGATATTTGAAGATTTGTGTCTTGTAGCGTTTTTAAACGTTACTATTTTCATAAACTTCAAAATCAACATTTCAAAATGTTTATGAATTTTAATAAATTGTTTACTTAATAGCTGAAAATTCTGCAAAGAAATCACAAATTTTATAGAAGTTTTTACATAATAAAGTATTTTCCTTTCCTAATATATTGTTATGTCTACAACCGAATCATTCCTCATTTTATTAATTTCCATTTTCTACTCTAATATTTAAAAACCTGGTACTGAATATTGTAATCCGCTTCAATATCTATATAAAAAACCGCAATCAACTTCTTCACTAGCATTCAAGTCCTTTAGTTAACAGGTTCCTGACGTGTATTTTCGAATGGTTTCTGACTTTGATCAATATCTGTAAAACCTGGCCACTTTACCTCATTGT